CATTAGCAGGAAGCTGGATTGGAAACAGAGCAGCTGGGACTCAAACCAGCGCTAGATATGGGATGCACGTGTGCTGTAAGTGGAAACTTAACCTGCTGTGCCACAGTGCTGGCACCCAGTTCTATCATTTCTTTAATTTTGGCTGGTTTCTGTAGGGAAAAAGCTTATCTTCCCAGCCCCATCAGTTTAGTTTAGTATGAACTTGAGTTGAGTATGAACTCATGGATTATTTTAGTATTCACTGTGCTACATTCTGCTGTCGCCATTATTCTTTTCAATGCCCACATTATTCCAAAATTGGCCTGTGAGCATCTTTTCACACTGATACCTTCATCCTTGGGACATGTCCCCATCAGTTTTTGAGCATTTCCTTGTTGCCTGGTATAACGACATGTCATAGGTCCATAACATGCTTTTTTTCTGCCCCAGACCTGGAAGCAGCCATTTTTCCAGTGATTTTTTTTTTTTTCAAATGGGAAATGGTTCTTAGAAGCCAAGTTCTTTGTTATTGATTATATTGATTATATTCTGTCTTCTATGTGTCCTCATTCAGACATGGTACCTTTTCTGAGCTTATTGTACCTGATTCTGGGTATTTTTAAGCACCTTCTTTTGGATTCCCTACTAGCTGGGCCTCTTAATGCTGGATTTGAGATTTGTTTTCAGTATTTCCCACTTGGGGTGTGACTAAATTTATCTGTGAGTGATACTATTTCTGTGCTGGCACTCCTAGTCCTCCACCCTCTTATTTCCTTTCCTCCCAGTTGCCACCTGACTTTTTCTGCTTCAGTATACATTATGGAGCTTGATCTAGATTTGGTGTAAGTTCATTTTCAGACATCTCTGTTTCCAGCTGTGCTTTACCTGTGGGATATGGTTTTAAGATTTGCTCTATTTGGCTGGTTCCGCGGCTCACTAGGCTAATCCTCCGCCTTGCGGCGCCAGCACCCCGGGTTCTAGTCCCGGTCGGGGTGCCGGATTCTGTCCCGGTTGCTCCTCTTCCAGTCCAGCTCTCTGCTGTGGCCAGGGAGTGCAGTGGAGGATGGCCCAAGTGCTTGGGCCCTGCACCCCATGGGAGACCAGGAGAAGCACCTGGCTCCTGGCTTGGGATCAGCATGGTGCGCTGGCCTCAGCGGCCACTGTGGGGGTGAACCAATGGAAAAAGTAAGACCTTTCTTTCTGTCTCTCTCTCACTGTCCACTCTGCCCGTCAAAAGAAAAAAAAGATTTGCTCTCTTTGTTGATTTCTTTGATTAACCTTAACCTACAGGAACTAGAATTCTTCAATTTTAACTGCTTTTGTGGCTAAGATGTGATATATGTCTGACTTTTAACTGAACTTTTTTTTTCTAAGATTTGTTTATTTATTTGCAAGTCAGAGTTACACAGAGAGAGAGAGAGGAAGAGAGAGATAGAGAGGTCTTCCATCTGATGTTTCACTCCCCAATTGGCTGCAACGGCCGGAGCTGCGCTGACCGAAAGCCAGGAGCCAGGAATTTCTTCCAGGTCTCCCACATGGACACAGGGGCCCGAGGACTTGGGCCATCTTCTACTGCTTTCCCAGGCCATAGCTGAGAGCTGGATTGGAAGTGGAGCAGCTGGGTCTCGAACTGGCACCCATATGGAATGCCGGCTCTTCAGGCCAGGGCATTAACCCGTTGTACCACAGCGTCAGCCCCTAACTGAACTTTTAATTTAAACTTGGTGACTCTTGGTCTTCAGTAAGGAAACATGAGTAAGCCTTCAATGTGTTTTGAAGTATGTTGTAACATTTGTCCCTACCCTAAATGGTCTTTAGCTATTTTTGAGTCCTTGGATTTCTTTGCTTTTTAATAGCTTTTCCTTTCAATTTGCAGACCAACATCAGGCATTTCTCCCCATTGTCAGCGCACTGCCTACTAAACCCTATCTACTTTACTATCTGCTGTGAATAGAGAATAGGGAATTTGGGTAGCACTTTGTTAAACTTATCTAAGAGATTAAACAGAACAGAATGAAACTTGAATCTTCTTGGAATATCTGTTCATTATTAAATAATTCTTCCTGTGTTATTTCCAGTCCTTTAGACAAATAAGCTAGGTAAATTATCTTTAAAAATAAAGTTTTACAGGACGATATTGAGGGAGTACAGTGCTAATAGCTAATAATTTCTTGTGTCCAAACCCTGACCTTGCTGCTTAATTGGCTGTACTGTGAGTAGTTGTTTAACATCTTCGTGCTTCCATTTGCTTGTCTTAAAATGAAGACAATAGAATCTTCTTCACATGATGAGTATAGAACAGTGCCTTGGTCCTGATAAATAATTACTACAGTTCATATATTGATTAATAAGAATGTGTTAGATAATAAGTTCATATAAGGAGCAATGATAGGCTTTGAATAAATTAGGGTATCAGGTCTTCAGGATAGTCTCTATGTTACCTGTCGCTACCCATACTGCTGTGTTGAAATTAAAATGTTTAAAGTTATTAGCTCTTTAAGCTTCTTATTGAGAAAGCTTACTATTTAGAGTTTTAGCTTAAAAGGAAGGTTTATAACTAAATGATGTTAATAAATGATGTCAGTTTTGAAGACTGAAGTACTTATTTTGCACTCTGTAGAGAAGTGTAGCTTATAATGAAATTAACACTGTTGTGGAATCATATGTCCACTAGAGGTCACTTTATACTTTGTATTATTTAAAATAGCTTTTCTTCCTGGTGTCAGTGAAGCCTGCTCAATAGGGAAAGTCCATTACTCCCACGTGGGAAAGAAAGAAGGCAAGTTAAGAAGGACTGTTTCAGGAAGCATCATTATGTTATATAATAATAGACATAGAATATAATATAGGCCTTCATATTTATTGCTCTGATGGTTAGAAGATTGGCTTAGGTTATTGAAGTAGTGATGAGATTTTAGTACCCACATTAGAAACAGAAACTTCTTTTTCCTAGCCGCAGAATAATTTGCGTTTCCCGAGATTACTTTTGAAAGATTACACATAGGTGTAAAATGAATGCTTTCCTCCCATGAGGAGTCTTCAAAAGGTTCGTGGAAATGTGAATTATGAAAAACTACACATGGATTTGAAAGTGTTTTGCACCAAAATTAACTTACCTTTTAATTCCATTTTCCCATAAGCTTTTCATGTATCCCTATATTATTTATTTTTAGTAACAGAACCATAGATTGAAAGTACTGCCTGTTTTTAGTTTCTAACTACATAAAATGTAAAGCATAGCTTTGATAGTATAATGGTGAATCTCAATATTTAATTGAAAATTCCTTGCACATGATAAAGTGAGTTGTCAAATAACTGGTGTCATTTTTGCCCACTGAGGTACATTCTGGGAAAACCAAAGGAGTCTAAATTTCTATGCTCTTTTTTTCTAATAGAAAAGATTATTAGTTTATATTTACTTTTCTGAAATAGCCATTGTGGATAAAAATAGATATATATTTTTAATTTATTTTTAAAAAAGATTTATTTATTTAATTGAAAGAGAGAGGGAGAGACATAGAGAGTGTGTGCACTTCCATCTGCTATTTCACTCCGCAAATGACTGCAGCCACCAGGGCTGGGCCAGGCTGGGCCAGGAGCTTCTTCCAGGTCTCCCAACTGGGCAGCAGGGGCCCAAGCGCTGGGCCATCTTCCGTTGCTTTTCCCCATGCAGTTAGCAGGGAGCTGGATCAGAAGTGGAACATCCAGGACTTGCAATGGCACCTATATGGGATGCTGACATTGTGGGCAGAGACTTTATCCACTAGGCCACAACACAGGCCCTGCTACTAACAGATACATTTTAGATGGGCTGTGTTTAAGATAATTTATTTTAGAGGCTATACTAAAAACTAATTTTAGTTTTGTGGAAAATTCAAGCTTATACTACTCATTCTTTCGTGATGCTTGATGTTACTGTTTGTATACAGTCATAGTGTCAAGTGTGGAGGAAAAAATGAGTTCCAATTCCTGACAATTTCACATTTTGGCAAGTTGTTGCAGAACTGATAGGTTTGATTTTGTTTAAACATTGCTGTAGTCTGCTTTTACAGATAATTTTGGTCTTGATGTGGATAATCTCACAAGTGCTAGATAACAAGGTAACCAAGAGACAGCTCAGATAATTATGGTGTTAAGTGAAGCCGATGCTTAAAATGTTTTCATTATATATCAACCACAAATTAAAAAGGTAATCTTAAATATAGTGTTTATAGTAACAGGGAAGGAATACTTGGCATTTTCAGCATTTAAAGTGCAGTTTTTGAACTTTGGTGTGCAGAAATGGTTATGAGGCTAAGTAGACTTATGTGTCACTGTTGGCTCAAAACAAGAAGCATGGGAGCCAGCGTTGTGGCGCAGTGAGTAAAGCTGCTGCCTGTAACGCCAGCATCCCATTTGGATGCCTGTTAATATCTTGGCTGCTGCACTTCCAGTCCAGCTCCTTGATAATGGCCTGGGAAATCAGTGGAAGATGGCCCAGGTGCTTGGGCTTCTGCACCCAAGTAAGAGACTTCATGGCTGCTGGCCCCAGATCTGCTTATCTGGCTCTCCCTGACCCCAAAGGCTGTAGGCAGGCCCTTTCATTCCATTAACTAAATTGCCTCTTTTAAAAACTTCTGTTTTTTTAGCATACTTTATAATTCTTGTATTTGAAATATTTCCTAAGATGTACATATTAGATGCCCCCCCCCCCCCCAATTTGGTGAATTTTACTGGTAAGAATACCCATTATAAGTCTGTCCTGAGTGGAAATTGTCCCATAAGGTTTGGGATCTGTTAGCTCCTAAGCTTTCAGTTCAGCTGGTTCTGTCATTTCTTCTTTCATGACTTTGGGCAGGTCCCTTAATCTCCTTGTTTTGTTATCTGTTAAATAAGGACAATCATTTCAATATATAGTAATTATTGAATGATATATATTATATATAGCTTACTGGTTTCAGAATTGTTGCTAAGGGATTTGTTTGCTTGATTTGTTTCTTTAAGGAGGTGGCTGTGTTTGAAATTTAATTTTTCCCCTGTAGATAACAGACAAGAGAGTCTCCCGAAGACATGCCATTCTTGAGGTGGTAGGCGGTCAGCTTCGCATCAAACCGGTAAAGATGTTACTAATGTTTTTTAACTTTCTACCTCTCACCCTTTCAGTTATTGATAAGAGATATCTATTTGCTAACATTATGAAAACAGGGAATTAATATCAGAGTATGTCTTTCATATTTTTGAATGAAACTTAATTCACCCCATCTCAACCTTGAACAAATAATTTTTCAAATTTTATTTTTATTGTTTATTTTTATTGCTGTTTTACTCCCCCAATACTTGCAATGATTGGAGCTGGGCTAGTCTGGAGCCAAGAGCTGGGGACTCTATTCAGGTCTTCCACGTGGGTGGCATGTGCCCAGTTACTTGAGCAATCAACTGCTGCCCCCCCAGAGACTGTATTATCTTGAAGCTCAGGAACCAGAGGCAGAAGTCAAACACAGGCACACCAGTGTGGGACTTGAGCGTCTTAACTTCTAGAATAAATGCCCACTCCCTGAATAAATAAATTTAAAAAAGTGTTGTGTCTCATTCTCATTCTGCTTTGCTTGAAAAAGTAATACCTGTAGTCAGCACTCCCTGGGAGCTGCCTGAGCCAATTATTAATCTGTGATCTTCCCTCACTCTCTTATGAGACTTTCTAGGTCATAACTTGGACCCATTTGTATATCCCTAGGACTTAGCACACTGTCCAGCACAGAGTAGATACTTAATGAATATTTGTTGAATTCATGAATAAATGCTATAGTGAGATACATATTTAGCATTTCTAGGGGCGAGTGGTATCATGATTTTTTATGAAAGTGTGTTAATTTTCCAGTTCCTGGTTTCTAGTACCTTCTAATGAACTGCAATGACCCAAAATAAAAAAGTTTGTTTTTGTACTGAAACGCAAAAAGGGAAAGAATATATGGATTTCTAAATTCCTATCTTGCCTTTCTGATAGAACATATTAGTTTGTTTTTAATTTTTTTTTCAAAATAAAAATCATACACCTGGTTCCTCAAGTGAAAGATCCATGTCTTAATCCTGCCCTTCTATGTGATTTACACTAACTCACAAAAGTTTCCTGCTAAGGTGCCTGGGAAGGTGGCAGGTGGTAGCCCAAGTTTTGGGCCCCTGCAGCTCATGTGGGAGACCAGGATGGAGTTGCTGGCTCCTGACTTCTGCCTGGCTCAGCCCCTGGTATTATGTCTATTTTAGAGGTAAACCAGCAGATGGAAGATCATTTCCTTTCTGTTTCTTCCTCTCTCTCTTTCACTCTGCCTTTAAAATAAAACATAAATAACTACATAAATAAGTTTGAAAAAAGATATGTGTGGCCGGTGCTGTGGTGCAGTAGCCTAAGCCTTTGCCTGCGGTGCCAGCATCCCATATGGTTTGTGTCTTGGCTGCTCCTTTTCCAATCCAGCTCCCTGCTGATAGCCTGGGAAAGCAGTAGAAGAGGCCCAAGTGTGTGGGTCCTTGCACCTGCATGGGAGACCCAGAAGAAGCTCCTGGCTTTGGATTGGCCCAGTTCCAGCCATTGTGGCCATTTGGGGAGTGAATCAGCAGATGGAAGACCTCTCTGTCTCTACCTCTCTCTGTAACTCTACCTCTCAAATAATTAAATAAATGTTTTTTTTAAAAAGGTATCTGCATAGCAATATTTGGTGTAGCAAATAGTGTAGTAATAAATTTTCATTGATAAATATATTCTGATATGTTTATACAATGAAATATACTACAAAAGTGAAGATAAATAGATTACAGTAAAAACATGAAAAAAGCATGAATTCAAATCAGGATCATAATATTGAATAGTATTAAAAGTATAGAAAGAAGCAAGAAAGTGATAAAAATCAAAATAATAATTACCTCTGATGGAGCTGAGAGCAGACTAGGATAGGGAAAGACAGGGGACCTCAAAGGTAATAACATTCTTTTTCTTGAATGCAGTGGTGGGTCCACACATAGTACCTATATCTATTATCTTTTTTTTTTTTAAAGATTTATTTATTTACATGAAAGTCAGAGTTAGAGAGAGAGAGAGAGAGATCGAGAGATCAAGAGAGAGAGATCTTCCATCCGATGGTTTACTCCCCAATTGGCCACAATGGCTGGAGTTGCGCCAATCTGAAGCCAGGAGCCAGGAGCTTCTTTCAGGTCTTCATGCGGGTGCAGGGGCCCAAGGACTCGGACCATCTTCCACCACTTTCCCAGGCCATAGCAGCCAGGTCTTGAATCGATGCCCAAATGGGATGCTGGCACTTCTGGCTAGGACATTAACCCGCTGTGCCACAGCACCAGCCCCTATATATTATCTTTTGAAAATTATTATGAAGCATTTATGTGAAGAAGATATAAAGGATAGTACAGTGTAATGCAGCTAACTCTGTTATGCCTAATTACCAAACATTGGAAGACATAAAAAAGAGCACTTATTTTTAAGGAAATGTGTAACTCTAGTTTTGAAATTTAATTACTGTTTTAGGAAACTATTTGAGTTTTAAATTTTATTCCAAGAATTAATGTTTTCACTTTTTTCTTTTTTGCCAGGCAGAGTTAGAGAGAAAGAGCGAGAGCGAGAGCGAGAGCGAGAGAGAGACAGAGAGAAAGGTCTTCCTTCCATTGGTTCACTCCCCTAATGGCCGCTAAGGCTGGCGCTGTGCCGATCTGAAGCCAGGAGCCGGGTACTTCCTTCTGCTTTCCCATGCGGGTGCAGGGACCCAAGCACTTGGGCCATCCTCTGTTGCCCTCCAGGGCCACAGCAGAGAGCTGGACTGGAAGAGGAGCAACCGGGACTAGTACCCGGTGCCCAAACTGGGACTAGAACCCAGGGTGCTGGTGCTGCAGGTGGAGGATTAGCCAAGTGAGCCACGGCGCTGGCCAGAAAAGCTGCATCTTGAACTTGGTGATACATATATAGGTCCTTTATTTCATGTAATGCTTTATTTATTGTTTCAGCAATATCATGTAAGTAATATAGTTTTAATAAAATGCCCTGTCTCTTGAAATAGATTAATTTATCCAGCTACTTGCTAAAAGATATAATTTAGAGAAATATAGATATAGTCTAAAATTGACTTTAATTTTTAATGGAAATTTTAAGATCTTAAAGATAATGAGAATGAGAGGGACAAGTGACTTCTAGTTCATTTTAAAAAATTTATTTATTTATTGGAAGGCAGGGTTACAGAGAGAGAGCTTCCATCTGCTGGTTCACTCCCCAAATGGCCACAGCAGCCAGGTAATTATGGCCAGGCCAAAGTCAGGAGCCAGGAACTTCTTCCAGGTCACCCATGTAGGTTCTGGGTTCAAGTCCTTGAGCCATCCTCTGCTGCTTTCCCAGGCACATTAGCAGGGAGCTGGATTGGAAGAGGGGCATCCAGGATACAAACCAGCACCCAAATGGGATGGTGGTATCGCAGGTGTTGGCTTAACTGGCTATGTCACAGCACTGACCCCAAGTTTGTTTTATTTTAATGCATGGTAAGTATAATTTATTCTGTATTCCCTAGTCATCCATAAATCTTTGATATTCTTGAGCAACTTACATTTATATAGCTGCAATAAAACATTGAGAAGAAAATTTTAGTTTAAAAAACCTCTATAAAATTATATGAATGAATCTATCAAATTTTTTTTTTAACTTTTATTTAATGAATATAGATTTCCAAAGTACAGCTTATGGACTACATTGGCATCCCCCACCCCCCCGATGACTTCCCTCCCACCCGCAACCCTCCCCTTTTCCGCTCTCTCTCCCCTTCCATTCATATCAAGATTCATTTTCAATTTTCTATATATACAGAAGATCAGTTTAGTATACATTAAGTAAAGATTTCAACAGTTTGCACCCCCATAGAAACACAAAGTGAAATATACTGTTTGAGTACTTGTTATAGCATTAAATCTCAATGTACAGCACATTAAGGACAGAGATCCTACATGAGGAGTAAGTGCACAGTGACTCCTGTTTTTGACTTTACCAATTGACACTCCTGTTTATGGCATCAGTAATCTCCCTTTGCTCCAGTCATGAGTTTCCAAGGCTACGGAAGCCTTTTGAGTTCTCTGACTCTTATCTTATTTAGATAAGGTCATAGTCAAAGTGGAGGTTCTCTCCTCCCTTCAGAGAAAGGTACCTCCTTCTTTGAAGACCTGTTCTTTCCACTGGGATCTCACTCACAGAGATCTTTCATTTAGGTGTTTGTTTGTTAGTTAGTTAGTTAGTTAGTTTTTTTTTTTTTTTTTCTTGGTGCCAGAGTGTCTTGGCTTTCCATGCCTGAAATACTCTCATGGGCTTTTCAGCCAGATCCGAATGCCTTTAGGGCTGATTCTGAGGCCAGAGTGCTGTTTAGGACATCTGCCATTCTATGAGTCTGCTGTGTATCTCGCTTCCCATGTTGGATCACTCTCCCCTTTATTTATTCTATCGGTTAGTGTTAGCAGGTATTAGACTTGTTTGTGTGCTCCCTTTGACTCTTAGTCCTTTCATTATGATCAATTGTGAACTGAAATTGATCACTTGGACTAGTGAGATGGCATTGGTACATGCCACCTTGATGGGATTGAATTGGAATCCCCTGGTATGTTTCTAACTCTACCATTTGGGGCAAGTCAGCTTGAGCATGTCCCAAATTGTACATCTCTTCCCTCTCTTATTCCCACTCTTATGTTTAACAGGGATCACATTTCAGTTAATTTTCAACACTTAAGAATAACTGTGTATTAATTACAGAATTAAACCAGTTGTATTAAGTAGAACAGACAAAAAAAAATACTAAGAGGGATAATGTATTAAGTTGTTCATTAACAGTCAGGGCTATGCTGATCAAGTCACCATTTCCCATAGTGTCCATTTCACTTCAGGAGGTTTCCTTTTTGGTGTTCAGTCAGTTGTCACCGATCAGGGAGAACATATGGTATTTGTCCCTTTGGGACTGGCTTATTTCACTCAGCATGGTGTATTCCAGATTCCTCCATTTTGTTGCAAATGACTGAATTTCATTGTTTCTTACTGCGGTATAGTATTCTAAAGAATACATATCCCATAATTTCTTTATCCACTCTA